ATGGACATATAAAGTAAGCCTGCATTTGTAAAAGCAGATCTGAGGTGTGTATATGTGTGTAGACATATTTTCATAGAAATGTCTATTTTATGGAATTTTTGACAATTATGGGAAGTATTCTATTGAGTGGATATGTGTCGTAGGAAATGCGAAGGCCAGTATTGAAATTTCTCAAATGATCTAGAAGGTCAGCAGTTTGAGAAGATAGCCTCATTCTGCATTCATGAAGCCCCCTTCAAACTTAGCAAGTAGTATGTTTGGATTTGGGGAGTAACTTCACCCTTTGACATCATGTTTATTGTAGACCAGCTGACCAAGTGGTCTGACAATAGTCATTGTCCTAAATAAGCTTGGAGTTGATCAGCTCCACATTTGTGTAAAGTAGCCCAGGGCTTTACTTTGAGTTTCCTGTCTCCTCTTTAAGTTTCTCACATTGATATGGAAAGTAGTTTTACTTCCTATTGAGTAGCTAAGCCTTGCAGTAATACCTTTTGTTTATATAAAAATATAACAACTCCATTTCTTAAAAATGTTAATTAAATGTTTAAGGAAAACATTGTAAGTAATAACTATGTAGTAAGCAAGGGAAAAACCTTAAATGTTGAATGTAGAATAATCTGGCAAAATTTGTTGGTAATTAAAAATGTAGGATAAGAAATATTCTTTCAAAATAGACTTTAAAATGTTTATTGTGTAAATATAGATTTCTGTTTTAAAAAATTAAGGTGATATATTGTAACATTAAGAATTGTCATACTGATATTTACTTAGGGAGCTTTTAAAGCACCGATTATTGAGCCAATAGACTAGAATGGCTCAAAGAAATGCTTCTTATTTCGCAGATCACTGAGGCGGTAAACGGTAATAGCTCAGACACATCTACCGTGTGGGCCGGCCTGCAGGTGTCACAGCACTTGACACTTAGTTGTTCATATCCAAAAAGGAATAAATAAGTAAACTCAAGAAGCGAAAAAAGGACATGTAGCATCACTTTTTTTAAAAATGAATACTTTTCATTTAAACTGGAAAATGGAAAAAATGATTGCTACAAGATTTAGTAGTTAGATTTAGTGTATGAGTTTCAGTTGTTTGGCATTTGAAGTACAAATGAAGGTCTGCAAATTATTTTGTTGTTTCTTAAGATTCTACTAAAAGTGGAAAATATAGGGCTGATTTGCTTCAAAGGTATTTGAAAGGGGTGAGCTTTTTATTAGGAATTTCAGTTGGGTTGTAGTGTAGCCCTATGTCACTCTTGGAGTCACAGTCCAAATTCTGCACAACAGGAGCCAGTGGGCTGGCTGAGACGCTCACCTGCTGAAAGACAGCAGCCTTAGGAACAGTGTTATTTTCCCCAGTCGTCTTTCATTATAAAGCTGTCCTTCTTTCTGTGTGCGGTCGTCTTGCGTGAGTTAACTGTGAGATTGGAGGCTTTTCTATTTTTCAAATTATATTGTATTTACAGGGAAAATATAAGACAAAGTAATATTTGCCTTTCTGCAAGAGTTGCAATCAGCCTTTTGACATTTTGCATCTTATTATTTTGCTATTCTAAAATATTTCCATGTAACAAATAAGTGTGAGTTTTAAGAGAATGGTAAAAGTATGTGATATTAACACCATATGATCAGCAGCTAGTGGTATGTATGCCTTTGTTCTAGATAGGAGTTTGGGGAAGTTTTTATCACATGAGACTTGGTTCTGGTTTGGTGTGCACATTGATTTCTTAGGAACTTGGTAGCAGGATGAGGTTCAACGCCAAGATGGATTGGAGTGGTGCTGTGTCATAGAGATAAGGTGGGTTCTCATTCGTCCACACGTGCATTAAAAAACGGGCTGATCTTTACTTGATTAAGCAGGAGAATACCGTATTTACCCTTTATTGTTGGTATAAACCATTATTTTCCTGAGCACCATTAGCTGTTTAAAACTTGGTACATAAATTAAAGAGGAGCTAAGTGGATTTGTGATCGCTGCCATTAGCGGCATTTTAGATTATACAGGCAATTATTGTGTTCATTATCCTAGAACAGCCCCTTCGCAGAACCATTGTGGTGTCTTAGACATTATGCACAAATTTTCCCTTAGAGATTAAAATTTCCAGTAGCGTATTTAATTTTGTTATCACAGTTGTTTCAAATAAAATAAATATTATGACAAGTAGAAGAAATTTTGCTTTACTAATATAGGAAGTTACAATAAATATTGAAAATTACTTCCCAGTGTACTTAATTTACCTTTTCTTACATAGTCATAATTACTTCAAGAGATATTAATTTATTTCATGGGTGAAAAGTCTTTGCAGTCAGAGCAAAAGGTATCTGGTCTGTTCCATGTCCCAGGAAATTTTTCAGAGTCACATGAAAACCCAAGTCATCACCTTTTTTACAGAATCTATAACTTTATAAGTTAACTAGTTTATATTGAATAGTTTCTAAGAGTCCAGGTTGCATTTTAGAGTTGAAGAAACTTTTAAAGATGTTTTAGAGGAGTATAAAAAATTAACTATTAATTGAAAATGGACTTTAAAAAAAAATAAGTTGAAATGTATCTTTTCTTCTCACCATTGTTAGAATTGGCAAGAAAAGCCAAGCTCATGCAATATGCTATAGCTTGGTTACAGTTATTTGCCAGGAAGAATCGCCACAGTTCAGAACAGCCTGCCAGTGGGAAGCGGGGCTTTGCTCTGCGGAACTTACTGCTTCCCTCCAAGGTGGCGGGTGGAAGAGGACACACTGACGCCCCGTCAATGAGAAAGGTGTTCACGCTGGAGTTTCTGCATGTCGGCTTGCAGTGGCTTGCTTTCAGACTCATCCTGTGTGTGCGCTTTCAGAGGAAACTTTGGCCCATTCCTGACTGTTTTGTCCCTGCTTTTCCAGTCTTCTTGAAAGTGTGAGGTAGTGCATATACATTTTGCAAGACAGAGATTCTTTATTTTATTACAAAAAAGACCAACTCTGGAAGGCCAGATTAAATCATTCCTTTCACTTTTTAATGGGATTTGGATGAATAGAGTAAAATATGCACTTTGCATTCATTGATAGCATCTTTAGGTTGAGGTAATTGAGTCTTTTTTCCCTGACTGAATGAATAATGACTTCATCTGACCCTCAGCGAGCCTGAGACTTAGGCCGCCTTTGTCGCAGCTAAAGGAGCTGGGCTTTGAAACATGCTCTACTTCCCTGGCTTAATTTTTCTTCATTTTAATCCAAAACCCTATTTTTCTCAATAATTCAAGCATAAACTATGTAGTAGTTGAAGGAGCGGAAATTGCAAGATATTTGTCCTCGTTGTGCTGCTTTTTAAATGGAGCTGATAAATCAGGCAGGTCTTCAGCTGCCTGGTTCTCAAGGGAAGCACAGCCATGGCAGCCCTGCGGGAAGCCCCAGCCCAGAGCCTGCAGGTCCCTCCAGCCATTGGTCCCAGGGAGAAGGCAGGCCTGGTGGCTCTGTAGCTGCGCCTGGAGGTGCTGAGCAGGTGACCCAAGGAGCCGTGTGCTTTTCTGCTGGATGCTTGGAGAAGGGCCTCGTCTCCTGTCACACGCAGATGCCGTAGATACTCCATATAGAACTGGCAGCTAGGTTTTCTTCCGCCTCCTGAATTAGGAGTCTGTATATTAAGTGACCAGATGAGACCACATTTCACAGGCCTTGGGCTTTATTCCTGCGTCTGGAGGGGGAGGGGCCTGCAGCAGGATGGGTCCTTGCAGGGGCGGGGCCTGCATACTCCAAACCCACCTTGCAGAGATTCCAGCTGCTCCCAGACCTCCCTGCAGACCGTGCAGTGGTAGTAGAACCTATACTGTGGACAAACGTCTTTCATATCCGGGTCCCAGTTGTCATTTTCATTGTTTCTACCCTTTTTTTTAAGGCCATGGAGTGCTAACCAACAGCAGTGCTGGCTGTGAGCGATAAGAAGTGAATCTATAAGCTTGGTTAGAGAAGAAAGCTTTCTATTTTGTAATTCTCTTTTATAGTATTTATTACAGGTGTTCATCTTATTTTTCCTACTAGATTGGCTGTTTCTTGTGGGTAAAATCTCACAGTTTACTCATTTTTCATGACCTTAGAGTTTAGCAAAAAAATATAGTAGACATTTCCATTTATTTTTGTAATGAATTTTCTTCACAGCTACACTTAATGGATTTTCTGACAAAGTTTTGTGTTTTCTCTCTAACTACAGGTTTAATGTTCTCATGAGAGTTTGTGGCAAATATTAATTCAAAACAGATATAAACTAAATACATAAAATGTAGGAAAGGCTAGCTTTTTATTGGCCAAAATTGTGGATTTCAAAAAGTACTACAAAATAAAAACAAGTTAACAATTAGCCCATTGAGAATTACAGTATTTAATTTATTTTATAAAAGTTTTGGCAATCGTTTTCTTTTTTAATTATTCTCTTTCAAAATTTGTACCAGATTCAAGAGAAACTCAGTTGGCAGATAGATGATAACCTGGTACGAATTCAGTTTCTGTTCGAGTCATACACGGCATGAGTGAGCACAGGGCCATGCCAGAAGCCCCCATGCTGGGCTTCTCCAGGTAGTATATAGGTAGCACCAGTTTAGAGACAAGGAAAATGGGGCTTAAAGAGTGTAAGCACATTCCCTGAGATCACACAATTAGTAAGCAGAGATTCAAATCCAAGTTTTTAATAATAATGACAATTAGAGTATACTAGTAATAACATGTATGTAGGCTTACCCTCTAACCAGGAGCTGTTCAGGTCTCGTGTAAACCTGAGGAAGACACTGTGATAACCCCATTTTACAGCTTGCCCAAGGTTAGCCAGCCAGGTGGCAGAGCCAGCATTGGAATCAGCCTCCACTAGGCATCCTGAGGAACCCCTTCTCCCTCTGTCTGGTTCTCAAGCCTTTCTCAAACGCCCAATACTATAGGCCAATGCAAAGGAAAATTTATGGATATCAGAACTGTCATGTATTCAGATGTGTAATGTTAGGAGCATTATGTTTATGTCTTAATTCCATGTTTTTCTTTCAGGTTGGTTTGTTGGACCTTGAACTCAATCAGCTGACCAAAGCGCTGTTTTTGGCATTGGTTGCTCTCTCGGTTGTTATGGTAACCTTACAAGGCTTTGTAGGCCCATGGTACCGCAATCTTTTTCGGTTCCTCCTCCTCTTTTCCTACATCATTCCCATCAGGTAGGTTGAAGAATTAAGGTAAAACAAATGTCTAGTTTCATTGAATATGAGTTTATTAACATCTGTTTCTCATTGTGAAAGAAATTGTTCACACAAAGCTCAGTAACTCTGGTGAATCCTGAGGAATCCTGTAGGAAGTCATACTGGGAGGGGGCAAAGTCAGTTTTGTTAGAATAGTCTAGAAATCTGATGCTTTATCCTATATAAATGTATTGATAATATAATCTTCAATAATTGGGTGATATAAACATAAAACATAAATCTGAATCCAACAAAATAGTATTTGCTTATTGCTGGTAGACTTTTTATTTCCAGTGCTCTTCGGTCCAGTGCAATCATTGACATTTTAAAGTTATCTATATTTCACAGACCATTTAATATACCTGTCAAGTTAGATAAAATACTGAGTAAGGCAGTCTTCTAATATGAACAATTTTTCAAAATGATAACCCATCTAACTCGAGATTGGGATATAAATAGTTAATATTAGATTGTGTTTAATTTAAAGACTAATATTTATAACAAATGTAGATAAGTCCATTTAAAAATATTTCCACAAAGAATATTTTTAATAGATACCCTAAATATATATGATTGAAATTTTCATATGAATGAGCAATTAAGCCCTAATAAATCATGCATAAAGTATGAACCCAGAATAGCTGTATTCTGTATCAAAGAGTGAACTAAACGTGTACCAGTATTAGGCACAACATACAAGCATTTGGAGAGAAAGGCATATCTTTATTTACAGACTGGTATCTCTAAAAGTTTATAGGAATGTCTCTTTCATTGACTTATATCATAGCAGTGGAGCTGTAGTTTGTCCCTGGGGCTCTGTACACAGAGCTGTTACCCCCGCCCCGCCCCCCCACCCCCCCCAACACACACACACACACACACACACACACACACACACACACACACTCACACTCTCTTCCAACTGCCAGCATCTCCTGTACTCATTTCTGGAACAAACTGCTTTTCTTGGGAATTCCAGGTGTTTTTTATTCTTTCATTAATCTTGTTTCTCTTCATTGCTGCTGCTTGTATCTGTTTTGCAATGTTATGTGATGTCACGTCTGAAGCAGAAGGCCCAGGGAGAACTCTGTCCTGCTCTTATCTGGGCCTCTCCTTTCACTGGTAGAAGCCATTGGAAGAAATGTTTTATTTCTATGTGATGTCTCCAATTTTTTCCTTCAGTAAAATAATAAAGAGACTTGGCACTTTCTCCTTTATCAAATTAACAGGAAAAAAATGATTCGAGTTTTGAAAATTAATACATAAGCATTTTAAAACTAAAACTAATTTTTATTGTTTTTAATATTTTGAGTATATATATTTAAAGTACAAAATTAGACAATACCTAATACTAGGAGAAGGAAATAAGTACTGTCTCACTTGACAAATTCTATAAAGGCTTTCAGATGTGTATATACATAGAGTCTTATAGTTATGAGGGTGCAGGTTACACACATAGATGCACCAGCACTCACACACACACCCTTCCTTTAGCCTCTGCACCCTCTTTGGAAGTCTGCTTATGAAATGGGGACGGTACCAGGCTTCTGTAAGTCTGTCTTGTTCTAGTGTTTCAGTGCACAGTTTAATATTTAACATGTTCAGTCGAGCTTGGAGAGACTTACTAGACAGAATTATAGTTGCACCTCTGTTTGGCTCCAAAAGATCTTTCAGGTACTTTACCCTGAAACTTCTGTCCTTCAGTCTGAGGGTGCAGCTGGACAGACTCGGCAGAAGGGATTAAAGCCAGGAAGTGTGGACAGTGTAGCACACTCCTTTAGGGAGTGAAAGTTTACATTTGATTCAACCAAGGTTATTTTCCTTTGCAAAATTTCCATAAACAGTGACTGATAATACATTTTAGTATTTGCTAAATACTAGTATGCTTTCAGTTTAATAAAGGATCAAGTTTTGATTTTTTTTGTTTTGCAAAGTGCACATTCTGGAAAGTGTTTTTTTGTGTGTGTTTTTTTCCTCTACTGACCTAACACTCCTAAAAGGTTTTTCCAATTTAAGAAAGTGAGGCTGTTTTATACTAGTAGACATTCTTTGGAGAATAAAATATGTTTGAATCACCTGATATAATTTACTTTGTCTTTCAATAGAAACATTACAAGATTTGACTCTTACTTTCATAATTAAAATGCATATACATTCCCTGGATTGTGTATCACTCACAACCAACAGCAGACTAGCCATCCAGTTCTTTACAGGACATTTAGTTCAGTTGGGTCAGGAACATGCAGTTCCTCATCTCGTTAGTTATCACCCCCTTGTCTGCAAGCGGTGAAGTGCATTAACGTCCTAGTTAAGAGCACTGTCTCATGGGGCAGAGCGCTTCCCTCTCACATGCGGCCCCCGGGCAATGGGCACAGTGGGGACTGTCCATGCGGCATCTCTGTCTGATGGTATCAGCACCTCAGGAGGCAGGGTTCTCTTCTCTTTAAAACAAGTTGGCCGTGCCAGCAAGATGCCCACATACTCATTCTGCCAACCAGCCTGCCGCCTAAAGGACTACCTACCACGTGCTCTACTCAGAGCTGCGCTCATTCACACACTGAGTGGATTATCAAAAATGTCAGATGACACACGTACAAAACTTGCTTCAGAATGTAACTTCCCTGAAGTTTTTTTTGTTTTGTTTTGTTTTTCCTGAACAGGTTTTATTACACAGACACGGGGTGGGGCTCAGTCCTTGGCTGCTGCCTTCCTCATGGCTACAAGGACATTGCTCAGCTCCTCTCTCTTTCTCTTGGCGTGGATGTGTGTCCCCACCCTTTTCTTGATGAATTTCAGGGCCCTCTTGTTCTTAGAGACCTTGAGCAGCTCCATGGCTACCCGTACCTAGGGGGCAAAGCCACACACCTCTCGGATCGTGTCCTGCACAAACTTGGTGTGCTTAGTGAGGCGCCCGCGGCGGCGGCTGTGCCTCAGCTTGCTCACGTTCTTGGTCACCTTGTGGCCCTTCTTAAGGCCCATGGCCATGGTGTAGCGCAGAGCTATGGCTGCTGCTCCTCAATAGCTGCCCTCCCTGAAGTTTTATTGCAAGAAAATTCTTAGGAGCTTATTATCAGCTTACAGGTACCCTTTCTGTGGCATTTTAAAATGTGTATTAACTTACCCAACATCTTTAGTTAGACCTCATTTTCCAGGTTGAATGCTTTCAGAAAAGAGTATTTTCAACCTTATGTAGACCTAGGGATAATATTTAGGTACTGATGGTCCAGGAAATATGTGGCCTGTACAGATTGCTAAAGACGCTGATATTAGAAGATTCGTTTTTTGAAAAGTGTGCCCAGGAGAAGAGATTGAGGATGTGCTCGACAGCCTTTGCCGAAGAGATGAGGCGTGTGACTCGTCTCAGCAGAGGCCAGGACTGGATGGTATAATCCAGGAGAAATCTGTGGAGGACCTCTTGTCTGATAATGTGGACCCCAGGTATACACAGGAGACTCAGAAAGGTTTTGAGATTGTCCTAAGGGCAGAAACATTGCCAGCTTGGACTGAAAGGAACAGGGACAAGACAAGATGAGAGAAGCCTGTCAGACTCCCCAAATCTGTAGGCTCAAAATGAGCTGCTAGAGCTACCTGGCTGCAAATGTGTGCTGACTACAGGAAAAAGGAGGAACGACTGAGGCCAGTGCCTCATGGCTGTGGGCACTATGTAGTTATTTGTATGCTCTGCATGTTAGTTCTTCAGTTGTGTTTCTCTGAAACTCTTCCTTGATCTGTGACTTGAAGTTTTACTCGCCCAGTGGTGAAATTACAAAAAGAAGTCATCTATTTCACAGTCACATGTATGAATGTTTCTGTGGGTAGTAGTCACTCTGTATTGTTTAAGGAATCCTCTAGTCCAGGTGTGAGCCCCCTCCTGCGTTAACTCCTAAATGCTGACTGGTCTTGTCTCTGATCCCTGAAAGGTGTTTTTTTAATGGTGTGAAGTAGATTTTCACATTTTTTCCATACCAATTGTCTTAGTACCCCTTACAGAAAAGACTTTTGTTCCCTCTGTCATGTACCAGATAATCATTTATGCACAGGTCTATGTGGGTCCCTACCCTCTTCCTTTGGCCTGCTTGTAGATTCTTAATCAAATAACAGACTGCCTTATTTACACACTGTGATAATAAGTTACTAATTGATAGGACAGCCCTTCCTTCTTGTGTTCTTTAAGAGTTTCTTTGCTCTCCCTGGCCATTTGCATTAATATTAAATCTGCCAAATCATGAATTGGCATATTTCTTAATATAAAAAGTTGTTAGAACTATTCTTAGATGCTTGATATTTTTTAAATGCTATTATAATACTATTTTTTAAACTATTTTGTATGTATTGGTTGCTGTTTATAGATGAATAAAATTGATTTTTATAAAATGATTAAGTCCATCAATTTTTGTAAACTATCGATTAATTATTAATCTGAGTCTGTTGGATTTTCTGTATAGATAATCACATCATCAGTAAATAATGACAGCTTTGTTTCTTTTGATTCCTTGCACCATTTATTTCTTTTCCTTGTCACTATAGCAGAGATTTCCAGTATAACATTAAGTAGAAATAATGATTATGGACATTCTTCCTTTGTTTCCATTGCAAAAGGCAGAACTTTTTACATTTCACCATTAAACATGCTATATGTTTTCATAGAAACCCTTTTATATGTTAAGGAAATCTTTTCTTATTTTGCTTAAAGTTATTTTTAAATCATGAGTATAATTTTAAGACTATTTTCATCTTTAAATTTTTATTTTTTATTAATATGATAAACTTATTGATTTTCTAATAACATACCTACTTGTATTTGGGGGGAGAAAATGCAATTTGATCATGGTACAATACTCTGTCTTGTATTATTAGATTCTACCTACTTGTGCTTTTTGTGAAATTCTTGCATTGTTACACAAGTGAGGTTGACTTATAACTTTCCTTCTCATGACATTCCTTTGTGTTTAGTGTCAAGATTTTGCCAGTCTCCTAAAATACACTGATGAGTGTTCTCTTACTTTCTCTTCTCTAACATATTTTATTTAGAATTATAAGTATTTATTTGGATATTTACACATTGGGAGGCCATGTGAGCCTGAACTTTTTGATGTGGAGAGAGATGTTTGACAGAGTTAATTTCTTTAATAGTTTAAATACTAGAGGCCCGGTGCACAAAAATTTGTGCACTCGGGGGGGCATCCCTCAGCCCAGCCTGCCCCCTCTAACAGTCTGGGAGCCCTCACAGGATGTCCTGCTGATGTCCCTGTGGGGAGCGGGCCTAAGCTGCAGTCTGGCCTCCCTCTGTGGAAGGCAGCTGGCCGATCAGGTATATAGATACTTTCTGAAGGCAGCACAGACTCCTTCCTTATTTCTTTCCTCTGTAGTTGGAGAATAGGGGACTAAAAGGTAGAGACAGAACTGTGGCTGGGCCTGGGGCTCTTGTAGGCAGCAGAAAGAAGGATAGGGCTGGGGAAAGTCTAGACATGGTTTTCTTCAATTGTCTTCCCTTCCTCCGGGCCCCTCGCTCTGTTCTTTCCTTGTCATGGTGGACGCTTGGGCCTCGGACTGACAGGAGCCCAGCGATGGTGAAGTTCAGCCCCCTCACTTCTCAGCTGAACATACAACCGCCTCACATTCCAAGTGGAGCTGTTTTCAAGTGGCTAAAGTGCTGGCAATTCATGCCTCCCGGCCTTTCCCCTCTCGGCTTTCCTCCTTGGGTCAGTTGCAAACTTCACCGAGACACCGAAGCAACTCTGCCCTGGTAGTTCTGCACCGGCCCCTGCCCGGGCCTAGCCAGGCACTCTTTCTTGAGGTCTCTGGGTCCACAGTCTGAGCTCAGGGAGGTCACCCAGAGCCTGTTCCCCCAGACAGGTGGGGAAGGGGGGCTAGCTTGAAGAGCTGGAGGAAGATGGCAGAGTAAGAGTTGGTATGAACCAGCGCCTGCTTAGCCAGACTTCCTAAGCTCCCCACCGGGCCCAGGCTGAGCCCCTTCCCCACACCAGGAGGATCCCAGCTGAGGTCCCCTCCCTGCACCCAGCGCTCTCCTCCCTGTTCTACCACTGGGGGAAGGGAGCAGCTCACCTGCTCTGGACCCTGCCAACCTGGCAGGCTGAGGCACAGGCAGTGCAGCCTAGGGTGCTGGTGGCTGCGAGCCATCTCCCCCTCCCTGAAGCGTGGGGCGGGGTTGCAGCAGCTCACAGCCGTCCCTGGGCACCATGCATGGAGACACCGCTCTCCACTGAGCCACCATCCACCCAGGACCTGTGGGGTTGGAGTGGCCTCGGGCTCCCACTGGCCCCACTAAAGCCAGACTCGGCTTGGCCGGCCACCCCCGCTGCCCGAGGGCTGCGCATGCCCCATGGGCCTCATCGCCCTCATGAATCGCTGTGGTCCGGCCGTCTCATCCCAGGAAGTGGCCATCCGGATCACCATGGCTCACTCCCCGGTGCAGTTGGGCCTGCCCAGCAAGCATATAGGCAGGAGCTGGGCCTCTGAGGGGAAGGAGGAGGGATGCGCGGG